TTTCGATCTGACTCCATGTGCATTGTCAGGTTCAGACAACGATGAGCTGCCGATAAGATCTGGTAATGTGGAAACCGCATCTACCTGAATATCAGTGATGGGATGAGCGGAGTGAAGGCGAACATAAAATTCAAAAACACACTTCTTTCCACGCAGAGCCAACCTCATTTATCCCCAGCTCGATAGCTCTTCGGATAGCCGCCAGCGTCTCCGTCTCCTTGCTTTCATTCTCCTCGAAAAGAAAAAATAACCTAAGCTACAAAATAAAAATGAGCACGTACTAGCCGTGCTGAATGTCGTGAACACATCAGGATAAAAGTGGAAAATGAATTTTTTCAGCAGGCTTGCTACTTCTTTTTTTCGGAGCACACCCTCCAATAAATTCAGATCTTACAAGAGTAGTAATGCCCTCTCATTGTGAGGCAAGATGGACAAAATCGAGATCAAATAGAATGAAAAAGCTCACCTTTGCGCTGATAACCGCAACATGTCTCTTGTCGTCACCAACAGCCTATAATCATAGAAAAGCGTAAGTAGACTTCATAACTGAGATTATTCTGCGAGGAGTCAAAAGCACTGAGAACTCTCCACTCAAATGATCAAAGCTGCAAAAACAAGACCGAACACCACTGATCTGCAAAATAGTTTCTCGTTTTCGTCTCACTACTTATCTCCATCGAACTTAAAAGTTGGATCTTAAAATCATTAACTTTGAAGTATCAGACGGTGTAATGCAGTCTTGTTAAAGCAACCCTTCCGTTCTTTGGATCAAATAAGGGCTCTTAACACACAGTATACGGTGGACCCTCTCAAATTAATTAGAAATTTAAACTTTTTTCATGGCTTCTATTGAAATCACCTAAAGCTTTCGAATTTTCATAAATATATAAAGGAGTACTGAACTTAACATAACCCCTACCGCGTTATCCATACAAACCTTTGCTTGAGTTTATAAATAGCATCAGAGACACAAGGTCACATTTTCCTAGGCTTTTTCCTTAACTATGCTACTTCTACAAATGATCAATGGTTCTTATCATTGTTCACCTTTTTTTAATTGCG